TTTGTCTACTCTCCTTTCAGTTCAATTTTTGCTTCATACATTTTGCAGCTCTGTTGTTTGATGCACAATTAGAATTGCTGTGCCAAGGGAGGGGAGAGGGGCTCAAGGTTGAGCTGATTACTAATGGCCAGCAATTTAATCAACAATGCCTCCACAATGACACCTCTATAAATCCCAGAAGGATAGGGTTTGGAGCACTTCAGGGTTACTGAACACATCCATGTGTTGGGAGTGTAGTATACCTTAAGTTTCACAAGACTTGTGCTCAGGACCCTTCCGAATTTTATCCCTATATCTCTTCATATGGCTGTTCATCTGTATCCTTTATAATATTCCTTATAATAAGCCAGTACATGTAAGCAAGTGTTTCCCTGAGTTCTGTGAGCCATTCCAGCAAATGACTGAACTGGAAGGAGTCATGGGAAACACCAATTTATAGACCCTCCATCAGAAATACTGGATGCCTGCACTTGTGATTGGCATCCAAAGTGGGGAAAACCTTGAGACTGAGCACTTAACTGTGGGATACGAGTCTGCCTCCAGATAGCGTCAGAATTGAATTAAGTTATGAGATACCTAGCTTGTGTTGGACAACAGGTTGTTGTGGGTAAAACCCTATACATCTGGTCACAGCTGTGTTCTGTGTTGAATGAGTGTGTATCAGAGAAGACATTCTTCCCCGACATCACAGCATGTGATTGCTTAACACCACTTCTTGCATAGAGTAAGGGTACACAGAAGGCAAAGGTTATTTATGTTTTTCTCAGATATATTAACAAATAGTTGCCACAGAGGAAAAAGGAAAATGTCTTTGCTCGGGATTTAAACAGTAGGGCCAAATAAGTACTTTATGGGATAGAAAAGCAATTCTTGGTCTAACAATGTTGTTATTCATAAATGACCAACAACTCACTAGTCTACAATATTTTGCCAATGTACTCCATTCTGCTAAGTTCTTAACAAATACTGTGTAGGGAATTTGTATGCCCATTGCAGATCTCTGGCTAATTCACAGGTGTAGTAAACAAGACCCTAGATTCAAAACCATAGGAGTTTAACCTCCTAAAAAGTTCATAATAAATGCACTTTATTTTTATTTTTAAAATTTGTTACAGGAACTATTGGTTAGAAAATTAATGACTCCTTTGTAACTCTGTAATAATGTTTGCTGTTCAGGCTTTGCTAAGAGGAATAAGACTGCACAGTAATGGGTAAGAATGATTATCTGTAAGCAATAGGACAGTTAGGCCAGGCCCTTACTGAATAATACTGATATATGTTGTTGTTATCTTTCTCTGGCAGTGGTTTTCAAACTTTTCTGACCATAACCCACAATAAAAACTACATCATGTTATTACCCAGTATGAAAACACACATACACACACACACACACACACACACACACACACACACAACTAAAGTAAAAATTTCATGAAACAATACTTTACTATTTGTGATGTACTCTGATCAATATATTTCTATTGTTCTCTTTTATTCTATTAAGTTAAACACCCTGAAAGCCACTACATTAATTTCATGACCCACCAACAGGTAGTGAGAGACTCTCAGCTGCTCTTTGATAAAACCAAGGCTGCAGTTTCTGAAATACATAAATGTAGTCATCTTCTTCCTACAGTGGGACATTCTCTGCTGATGGCATAGGATGGGATGGAAGGTATGTTTTAACCAAGTAATGTTTCCTTGGAGTTCAACATGCTTAACATTTAAACTGAAAATTTTCATCCTTTAAAACTTGGGGCAGGGTTTCATGATGGTATTCCCTTAGTCAATCAAATTAAGTGCTACTTCATTGCTTAGAATATTTTTATGCAGGAAATATAGCATGTATTTGAATATTTTTAAAAGCTTTTCCTTAAATTAAAAAGCAATATATATTTAGTAAACAAAAATGCAAACAAATATAAAAAATCCCAAAACCAACAGATAATCACGGCAACATAGGTTATTTTGTTTATGTATTTGTCCTATACACAGACACACTTAAAAATCACACACATACAATTTGCATTCTCAAGACGAAGAGATAATTGTGGTAACATTTTATATGTTGTTTTCTTTCTATATTTTTCCTATACACACACACACACTTAAAATAACACACATACAATTTGGATTTTACATGCAGATATGTCTTCCTCCAACTATTATAAACATCAAAGGTTATTTTAAAATATTTTGTAGGCTGGAGAATATTATGAAATGGGATAATTTATTATTTCTCTATTTATAGACATTTAGATTTTTTTCAAGTTTGTGAGTGCTGTTTATTTTTGTTTATGGTATCCTTCCATGAAAATTTGTGCATTCATTTGATTTATGCACTCAAAATCATTTATTTTTACCTTAATATTTTTTCATTTCCTTTTATGCCTATAAATTCCTTCCCAATTTCTACTCCAATCTAGAGACAGGTAAATATTAGATATAGTAAGATTAGATAAATTATTAGATTATAGTAATATTAGATAATTCCAATTTTCCATTACTCTTTTGGGGTAGATTTTTAAAAAATCATGCTAAGTTAATATTGTTCCATTCCCTTAAAAATATAGTACTGGGTAGTGAATATTACTGAATGGAGTTCAATACTAGGTGCCAATGCCTAGTTTGCAGTATAAGTTCAGTGAAACTTTTGTTGAATGAATCAACAGTCACAATTTTTTTTTTGAGATAGAGTTTTGCTCTTGTCACCAGACTGGAGTGCAATGGCATGATCTCAGCTCACTGCGACCTCTGCCTCTCAGTTCAAGTGAGTCTCCTGTCTCAGCCTCCTGAGTAGCTGGGACTACAGGCATGTACCACCACACCCAGGTGATTTTTTAAATATTTTAAATAGAGACAGGGTTTCACCATTTTGGCCAGGCTGGTCTCAAACTCCTGAACTCCGGTGATCTACCCACCTTACCCTCCCAAAGAGCTGGGATTACAGGTATGAGCCACTGTGCCCGGCCCAACTTTATCTTTTTTAAAAAATTAAAAAGAACTGAAAACTAGTCAACAGTTACAGAAATGTACAGAGTAGAAAGTGAATCTCTTGAAATTGTGTCCCTCAAGATAAATGTTGATTTAATGTATATCCTTTCATATATTTTTCCATGAAGTGAGAATTACACTTTACTTTTTTTATTTTTTGAGACAGAGTCTCACTCTGCCACCAAGGCTAGAGTGCAGTGGCATGATCTCAAATCAGTGCAACCTCTACCTCCCAGGTCCATGCCATTCTCGTGCCTCAGCCTCCTGAGTAGCTGGAATTACAGGTGCCTGCCGCCATGCCCAGCTTTTGTATTTTTAGTAGAAATGGGGCTTCATCATGTTGGCCAGGCTGGTCTTGAACTCCTGACCTCAGGTGAACCACCTGCCTTGCCCTCCCAAAGTGTTGGGATTACAGGTGTGAGCACCTGGCCTGAATTATTCATTTAACTGTACAAAAATATATGCAAATAGATGTTTACTGTTGTATTGTTGTTTTCTAGTAAAACAAAAAATAGAGGATTGGCTAGAGTAGTTATTGCATCTATGTAAGATAGCCCCAAATAAATCAGTAGTATCTGTATAAACAGACATGGAAAGATGTACACAATGTATTATTATATGAAAAAAAGAAAAAGTATTTTAAATATTGATGTATTGCTATAACAAGAGATTTTCCCATTTTAAAGCATCAGTGCATTCCTTAATCATCTACTTGATTATGTTAAGTAAGCCATTCTTTAAAAATACAGATAAATTTGTTAGTTTTTAGATAGGATTTTTATTGATATTCCACCAGTGAATTTAGTTTTTGGTTTTGAGTATGCTACCTCTGCCTGAGTTATACTAGGTTCATGAAATGCAATAAGTAACTTCATCTTGTTGTCCTGTATTCCAGAATATCTTACCTAGCACTGAAATCATCTGCATCTTAAAAGTCTAAAAGAATTAACTGATAAAACCAGCGGTTCCCAGAACTTTTTTTGTAAAGGTTTAATATGTACATGAATTAAAAACATAAAGAAGTAATTTGTTCAAATTATCTATATCCTTATTTATCTTGAACTGCTGCAACTGGTGGTGGTATATTAAACCATAGTTGTATTTGTCAATTTCTCCTTGAATCTTTTTAAACAAATTTTATTTTACGGAATGTTTCTGTGCTGAAGCAGCAGTGCAATTGAGACTCTTAAATGTGTGCAACTAGCTAAAAAGGTAAACTCATTCTGGTATATTTGATTTAGGTAAGGCCATTACATAACGTGGCAATGGCCATATAATGAGTTCTTAATTTTTTTTTGGCCAAAAAAATAGAGGAGTGACAGCAGCTCTGCTTATACTTCTTCAAAGCCAAAACTCTAGGCATCTAAAAGAAGCATATTAAGATTCCTTTTCTTATCTAGGTAACTGAAATTATCACAGTTGTATTTATTGTAATTTGGATCTAACCTCAGTCAGTCAGCCATCTGTTAAAACTAGACATCCTCTGCTCAATCTTATTTCTTTTTTATCTTAATTGTAATTTCCTTTATTACTTATTTAAATGTATAACTACATTTTTCTTTATAATAATATATCAAAAAAACCTCTCTATAAATTCCAGCTTCTATTCTACATATAAAAAAACTAGGAGTAGTTTATATTATAGTATTAATTGGATTTTTAATTTTTACCTCCTCTAAGATGAACTTAATTAACTAATTTGCTACTTCACTCTCTGACCAAGACAACACAAGTAATTTCACCTAATCTCTCTAGTACTTCAACTAAAAAATTAGGATAATGAGTTGGCTCCATCATAATAGGGATATATGAAGAATTGAAGCCTAACATTTCTTTGTCATGAGAACCTTATATAATTTACCAGTGTAAGTCTAGGGAAAGACTAAGCATAATGAAAATGAAGATTTTATTAAGTAGTATGAAAACAGTTTCTTCCACCAGTTTACCTTGCCAATATATTGACTGAGGAAGCTTTTATACATTATGGACATTGTATCTGGTCTTACCTGATCCATTTTTCAGATACCCATTTGCATCTACAGTTGTATACATGATATAAGGTCCAGGTTGATTCACTCCAAAGGGCTGCAATAGAAACAAAAAATAGTTAAGGCTTTGAAAGTAAGAGAATGACTGGAAGTTTCAGGCAAAACTCTTTCAAAGCAAAAAATTCTTATATAGATGACAGTTTCCTAGACACCCCTTTCATTAACAGGTAGCACATCAAAAGAAAACCTCTCGTTTATTAGGATGTTAGTGTTAATAATAAACAAAAAGAAAACCTGATTAGTAGAAAATTATCAAGACTTTAAATGATTTAATAGTTGAATTTATATAGTTCATTATTTTAACTGGGTATTTCTAGAATCAAATATTCTGTTGAATATAGTATTGCTTTTTCCCTTCAGCGAGGGATTGGATATGACTTACATTTTCCCACTAAAATATCAACACAAGTAAAATCCATCTATAATAATTACAATAGAATAAAAAATACTGATGATTAGTTCTACCACATTTAAGCTCCTGCACATTTAAGGAATATATTATTATTATTATTTCTTGTACTTTAGGTTCTGGGGTACATGTGCAGATCATGCAGGACTGTTGCCTAGCTACATACATGGCAAGGTGGTTTGCTGCCTCCAACCCTCCATCACCTATATCTGGCATTTCTCCCCACTGAACACGCCTTGAGAATAACTATATAGAGGAACTGGATCAGGCTTTCTAGACCCTGTGTTCAAAAATCAGAACGACTGGCCCATGATGATGGGTAAGCTTCAGCTTTAGGATTCGTATCAGACACATGATGAACTAATTTTTTTAACTGAATACAGGTGGGAGAGAGAACACTGCTTTTCTTTGCCAATCTGCAAAATAAGAATGTAGATATAGGCCGGTGGCTCACACCTGTAATCCCAGCACTTTGGGTGGCTGAGGCGGGCAGATCATGAGTTCAGGAGATCAACACCATCCTGGCTAACACAGCGTAACCCCATCTCTACTATAAATGCAAAAAATTAGTCGGGTGTGGTGTCATGCACCTGTAGTCCCAGCTATTCTGGAGGCTGAGGCAGGAGCCCAGGAGGCGGAGGTTGCAGAGAGCCAAGATTGCATCACTGCACTCCAGCCTAGGTGACAGAGCAAGATTTCGTCTTAAAAAAAAAAATGTAGATATAACAGTTCACTAATTCTCTCATGAAAGTAGTGTGTAGTACAAAGCATAATATTAATCTTAACACATAAAAATATTTCTTAAGTTTATTTTGCATATTTGTGTGATTTCGTCATGAATCATTTAATAAATCAGTAATGTCTCATGAATAATTTCATGCTTATAGCAACCTATTTTCTCATAGCCATTGGAAGCATATGGACTTCTAAAGATCTTAAAGTATCAGTCAGGCAATTGTGATATTGATAAAATTATATTACTGCTTATCATCCTGGAGAAAAATCATTTTCAGAGCCTCAGTAGCCTATCTAAATGTCATTATTAACTTTTCTGTACTTTACTGGGAAGATCAGTAGGATTTTGATGCTGTGAAAAACATTCAAAAGAATTTAAAGCATTTCTTAAGCATTTTGTCATCTTTTCTTAGGACGTCCATTGCAATCAAGTTTCTTTACGTTCTATTTTATTAGCCTTGATTTCTAAAGAGAAGGAATATATAATTTTATTCAAGGCTTGAGGAATGTTCCAGAAAAAGGAAACAAGTTAGAGATAGACCTCACCATTGTAACTGAGGCACTGTCAATCCATCAGATTTTTCTTAAATGAAAAATAGTGAACAGACACTTTTCAAAAGAAGACATTGATGAGGCCAACAAACATATGAAAAAATGCTCATCATCACTGGTCATTAGAGAAATGTAAATTAAAACCACAGTGAGATATCATCTCACACCAGTCAGAATGGTGATCATTAAAAAATCTGGAGACAACAGATGCCAGGCAGGATGTGAAGAAATAGGAATACTTTTACACTGTTGGTGGGAGTGTAAATTAGTTCAACCATTGTGGAGGACAGTGTGGTGATTCCTCAAGGATCTAGAAATAGAGATACCACTTGACCCAGCAATCCCATTACTGGGTATATACCCAAAGGATTATAAATCATTCTATTATAAAGACACATGCACACGTATGTTCACTGTGGCACTGTTTACAATAGCAAAGACCTGGAACCAACCCAAGTGCCCACTGGTGATAGACTGGACAAAGAAAATGTGGAACATATACACCATGCGGCCATAAAAATACTATGCAGCCATAAAAAAGGATGAGTTCATGTCCTTTGTAGGGACATAGATGAATCTGGAAACCATCATTCTCAGCAGACTGACACAAGAATAGAAAACCAAACACCGCATGTTCTCACTCATAAGTGGGTATTGAACAATGAGAACACATGGACACCGGGATGGGAACATCACAATAACAGCTGAAACTACCTAAATTTAATGAACAACATTAACTGTACACCCCCAAAGGTCAATGAGCACCAAGTAGGGTAAACTCAAAGAGCTCCACACCATGATATGTCAAGTCAAATCCTACCTATCGTATCATAGTTAACATTTTGAAAGCCAAAGAGTGAAAGTTGAAAACAGCAAGAGACAAGCAATTCATCATGGACAAGGAATCCTCAGTAGGATTAACAGCTCAATTCTCATCAGAAACCCAGGAGGCTAGAAGGCAGTAGGCTGATAAATTCAAAGTGTTAAAAGAAAAAGACTTTCAGCCAAGAAGTCTTAAAATCCAGCAAAAATATCCTTCAAAAATGAAGCAGAAATTAACATACAGCCAGATAAAACCAGAAAGAACTTGTTATTAGCACACCTGACTTGTAGGAAATATTAAAGGGAATTCTGGCTCATCTGAAAGAACATTAGATAGTAAACTGAATCCACACAAATAAAGAGTACTAGTAAAGGTAACTGTAAGTATTCTGCGAAGATGCCGTTGGAAAAAAAAAGGTACTGTAAGGGAACTGCAGGTATAAATACATTTTTGTTTGTAGCTCTTTTCTCCTACCTGATATAAAAGGCTATTGTTTGAAACAATAATTATAAAACCATCTTATTGGTCTTGTATTGCTTGAAGATGTAATTTGTATGACAATAATAGTATAAACTGAGGAGTGAATAAACTGAGATATGTTAGAGCAAAGTTTTTATAAACTACTGAAATTAAGTTGGAATTAATATTAACTAGATTGTTTCTAAATTAAGATGTTAATTGTAATCCTGAGAGCAACTACTAACAAAATAACTTTTTAAAAATAGGGTGAGGCTGGGCAGGGTGGCTCATGCCTGCAATCTAAGCACTTTGGGAGGTTGAGGTAGGAGGATCACCTGAGTTCAGGAGTTCAAGGCCAGGCTGCCCAACATGGCAAAACCCCATCTCTGTCAAAAATACAAAAATTAGCTGGTGTGGTGATACACATCTGTAGTCCCAGCAACTTGGGAGGCTGAAGCAGGAGAATCCCCTGAGCCCAGGAGGTAGAGATTGCAGTAAGCCCATATCATGCCACTGCACTCCAGCCTGGGCAACAGAGTTGAGACTCTATCTCAAAATAAATAAATCAAAATAGAGCGAAATAAACAACAAAAGAATTAAAATGATATCCTAGACAACAGATAACATTAAAGGATGCAGTAATGGTGGAATTGAGCAACCAAGAAAACATGACATATTGAAAACAAAACAATGACAGGCATAATCTGTTTTATCACTAATTTCATTAACTATAAATGAGTTAAATGCTCCTATCAAAAAGGCAAAGATTAACCAAATGGACAGAACAATATAACCAACTATGTGCCATCTACAGAAGACACACATTAAATTCATAGACAACAGATAGGCTGAAGGTAAAAGCATGGAAAAGTATACCATGGGAAAAGAAACCAAATGAGAACTGGAATGGCTAAACAGATATCAGACAAAATACACTTTAACACAAATTGTTTTTAGACACAAAAAAGGACATTGTATAATGATAAAAGGCCCAATCCATCAAGAAGACATAACAATTATAATTATATTGCACCTAACCAACAGACCCCCAAAGTACATTAAGAATTTGAGGGAGAAACAGATAATTCAACAATAGTTGAAAACTTCGGTATGCCAATTTTAATAATGGATAGAAGAAATAGATAGAAGATCAGCAGGAAAAGAGAAGATGTGAACAACACTGTAAACCAACTAGACCTAACAGACTTGTAGAGAACACTGCATCCAACTCTAGCAGAGTACATATTCTTCTCAAATACATGTGGAATGTTCTGCAGGAGGGACCTTGAGAACATAAAACAAGCTTTATGTTTTATGGTATGCTAGACCATAAAACAAGCTTTAGTCGATATAAAAGTATTGAAATTGTACAAATGATATTCTCTGATTGCAACAGAATTAATTAGAAATCAACAACAGAAGAAAATATGTGGAAATTAAACAATGTTTTAATAAATAAATACCATGCATACCATAACAAAGTAGGAAAAACTCATCGATAAAGTTGCAAAATCCACATTGCAATGAACCTTAAGACACTGTCACTTGATGACTTTTTGGTATATATCGATTATCTGAACAGGATATTAAAACACTCCCTTTTCTACTACATAGTTATGTGAAGCTGAATTTTTTTCATCTATTTCAACCAAGGCAACATACCACAAAAATCTGAATGTAAAAGGAGATAGGAGAATATGCTACTATCTTCTATTATGCTAAGCATTAAAGAGATTTGTAATAACATAAAGCAACATCTCTCTTTTCCCTAATATTTAAATATGAAAAATATAATTTTTTAAATAAAATAGGTTATGTTAAGATACTGAGTTATCTTTCAAAAACAAATTAATATCGTGCAGGTGTGGTGGTTCACCCCTGTAATCCCAGCACTTTGGGAGGTGAAGGCAGGTGGATCACAAGGTCAGGAGTTCAAGACCAGCCTGGCCAAGAGGCTGAAACCCCGTCTCTACTAAAAAAATACAAAAATTAGCAGGGTGTAATGGCAGGCACCTGTAATCCCAGCTATTTAGAAGGCTGAGGCAGGAGAATCACTTGA